CCAGAGAACTCAGCATTAATTGATTGTATGGACTGGAAACTAGAAACAAGCTCTTAAGCAATTTTTTTGTCCTCATGCTTTCACTGTTTCATTTGTGTGGTAATCTGCAAATACCCATAGCTTTTTAAATTTTAAAATTATTTATTTATTGAAATATAGTTGACTTAAAGTATTATATTGGTTTCAGGTGTACAATATGGTAATTTGGTATTTTTATAGATTACACACCATGCAAAGTTATTATAAAACATTGACTATATTCCTGTGTACATTACATTCTTGTAGGTTAATTACTTTACAGTTGGCAGTTTGTACCACTTAATCCCCTTTACCTGTTTTGCCCCTTTCCCCATTCCTCTCCCATCTAGTAACCACTAGGTTGCTCTCTGTATCTGTGAGTCTGTTTCTGTTTTGTTGTATTTGTTCCCTTGTTTTGTTCTTTCAATTCCACATGTAAGTGAAAACATATGATGTTTGTCTTTCTCTGTCTGACTTACTAAGTTAGTACCCTTCACGTCTAATCATGTTGTTGCAAGTGGCAAGATTTCATTCTTTTTTAGGTGTCCATTTACAGAGGAATGGAAAAGGAAGATGTGGTGTATGTATACCTGGGTTACTACTCAGCCATAGGGAAAGGATGAAATTTTGCCATTTGCAGTAGCATAGATGGACTTGGAGGGCACTGTGCTAAAGGAAATAAGTCAGACAAAGACAGATATTTTATGATATCACTTATATGTGGAGTTTAAAAAATACAGCAAACTAGTGAATATAACAAAGAAGCAGACTTACTGATGTAGAGAACTAGTGCTTACCAGTGGGGAGAGGGGAGGAGGAGGGGCAAGTTAGAGGCAGGAGATTAGGAGGTACAAACTATTAGGTATAAATAAGCTGCAAGGTTGTATTGTACACCACCAGGAATAGAGCCAATACTTACAGTAACTACAAATGGACTATGTAGCCTTTAAAAATTGTGGATCATTAATATTATACACCTGTAACTTATATAATATTGTACAGCCACTGTACTTCAATTAAAAACAAAGATTGCATGCTTGTGTTCATAAAAGAACTCTATAAATAAATAACATTGGATGATCATTTTATTATCAATCATAATTTTAAAAAGAACTTAATAAATGCCTAATTTCCCTTGGCCAGGTGTCATTTCCTAATGTCAAAATAAGCGAGCCAGAGGGGCATCGCCTCCCAGAATGTGTTGCTCTTGCCCACAGGACATTCAGTCCCTTCACACTTGGCATGCTGTTTACCTCTTCTTGCTCTTAACTCTCGGTTGAATACCTCCCCACTTCCTTTTTTCCCCTACTCGCTTCTACCCTAAGCTTTTGTTCTGCTGAACTACTTACTAAGCTAGACATCACACATTGTCAGCGCTGGATATTATATAATCACAGCTGTTACTATATTGAGTGTTTCCTGTCCAGCTTAGTCATCCTCACAGTGACCTTATGAGAAAGTTGTTAATCCCATTTTGTAGATGAAGAAACTAAGGCACAGGGAGACTACCTAGCTGGTAAAGTGACAGCTAGCTTTGTGGCAGGTTTTTTTCCTCTCTGAACCACAGCTTTTGCTATTTCTGCTACGATAAATGATCTTATAAAAGACTTTCAGGTTACCACTCAGTATCGTTGTTGTCTCCTCTTCCTTTAAATAAAACACTCCCATTAGGACCTCACCCTTGACTCATCTCCCTCTTCGTTCCTGTCTGCTCTTTTTGGTTGACCATATCAAAATTAGTAGCTTTACCTACCATCTTTTCACTGATGACGCCAAAATTAGTTACTTCTAGTGTGAACCTCTGTCCTAATACATAGAAACAGTTGTGTCTTAGACACATGCCCTTGGGTGTTCTGTAGATACCCCTTACACCCAGCATCTCCAAACCTGAAGTCGTGACCTTTATCTCTAAATTTACTCCTTTCCTTTTATTCTCTCCCTCAGTATCCACACTGGTTGTTGTTCACTCAAGGCAGAAATCTGGCAGTCATCCTAGGCTGTTCTTTTTTTCTGAACTCTGACATCAAGTCAGTTCACCAAATGCAAAGGAGTAATCTCTAAGGATTTCTTGAATTTATGTTTTCCTGTCAATTTTCAAGAGCCCTTGATAGAATATTTATGTACATTGAGCTTCAGGTACATACGGGAAACTGCTAGGAGCTTAGGAGAGAGATCAGGGCTGGAAGTCCATATTTTGGAATCATCAGAACGTGGATAGTAGTTGAAAATCAAAGAAGGAGAATAACCCAGAGCAGGTATGGAGTGAGAAGAGGGCCAAGAACATAGCTTTGAACACTTTACAATTATACGGTAGAAGAGAGACCAGAGAGATTGAGAAGGAATGAAAAGAATGCGATGCAACATAAACGAGAGAGATCCAGACACTATACTTACCTTTGTCCAAATGGTTACTATACTTTCCAAGATGAGCTTCTTCCCTGCTCTGAGTGCTGTATCAGCATCTCTACCCATCTCACTGGGGCACGGCTCACCTGCCTGTGTTCCTGAACGTCCTCCGATCCCGTAGCTGAATGGACTGCCCTTCTTTGCATTACTTAAAGTATGTTTTTGTACTGCTCTTTCTGCACAGATTGCATGTTCTCACATACTACCTTTATTTGTATATATTTTACATCCTTGTAAATAGGTATTCTCAAAGTCATTTTGGTCTACCTCATACAAACTATTACGGATTTTTTTTTTTTGCAGTGAGCTCAGGAAAAATGTGAGAGGATTAGTAATCTCAGCTCTTTTAGTAACATTAGGCAGCATTAGTATTGCAAAATTTAGAGGAATACCTAATAAATAAAATATTTGAATCAAAACCATCTGTATAGACTTGATCATTGTACAGAAAATTAAGTGTAATGTAAGATATAAGGCTAGAGTAACCTGGAATGTATTAATTCATGTAGAAAAGACATTTGATTCTTAGTTGGTCTGAGCAGTTCAGATGTTTTTAAAAGTCCGAGTGGTGTTGGAACATCAACAGAATGCTTTAACAGCAGCAGCAACAGTCTCAGACTACTGTGGCCTGGGCGCATCGGCAGGAGGGGTGGTCCCGGCCTACAGTATTCCACCTTCTAACACAGGGGGCGGACTGTGTACCTGTTGGCTTGGCTTTGTGTGATATGGTGGAAAGAAATTGGGACTTGCAGTCGGAGCTGCATTCAAGTCCTCACCTTAGTAGTTACTGCTTCTGAAACAGTAAGCAATTTGTTTTACTTGTCTGAGCCTGCTAAAAATTGTAGGTAACTAGAAATCTTATACTTAAGGGTTGTTCTGAAGGCCAAAGAGGTACTCAGGTCAAAATTACTCTATAAATTCTGGAGTGCCTGGTGTCAGTGCTGGTTGGCACTGTCGTCATTTGCTCCGGTCACAGTCTCCCTTCTACTTGGTACACACCCTGCTAGGTTGGCATCAGTTCTGTCTTGAGAGTGGCTTAGCTGCCACCATCCTGGAGAAAAAGGATAAACAGGACAGAACGAAGCAGAGCCTGGTGATGGGAACAGTAACTTAGGCATGACCCCTTGTATTTGGTGCAGTACTTTTATTTTGAAAGCACTTTCTTGCATATTATTTCATGACTTCAGAATAAAGGGGAAGGTGTAACGAAAACTCTGGCCTAGGGGGGACATATTATTCTATAGTAAAATATAGAATAATAAGATTGGTTTTCTTGTGTGAGTTAAGAAAACTGGCTCTGGAAAGAATCCAGAAATGTTTTTAGTAACATTGACTAAAGTTTTCCCAGTTGAGGTAAAAATTCCTAAGAGCAAGGAAGGAGATGTATGCAAGGCAAGTTTACGTATCTTTCTATAATGATGAGCTTATTTAATTTTAAAAGCTTCCCTCTAAATGAAACACTGGAAATGCGTTGGAAACAATGATTTAAAAAATGTAGCTCAGACTCGCACATTCCCAAGGGAGCTGTTTCAGACGTTAGAAATGTTTGTTAGAAGATCAGTCTCATTTCAGATTCCATACAAAGCAATCACTTCTTCAGAGTGATGAACAGAAAGCAAAGTCAGGAAGTTGCAGTACATCATTAAACATACTTCATCCTCCTCAGTTTTCCCGGAAGCCCCTTGAAAGGTTCTTAGAAAGTTTTTGCTCCTAATTGTGCCATACTTCCCTGGAACAATGAAAATATTCCTTTATCTGCTGATTTACTGCAGTAATGACATAGCAGGGATTTATGAATATTTGAAGATTTTAAAAAACTTTGTATCAGGCTTTATAAACTCTACCATAGTAAATATTTTGAGCTAGTGGCAGCAGTGTTACCCGGCTTATTTAATTAACACATGTTTTGAAAATCAGTAATACTGTATAGATTCATTATTTATCATTTTATTAAATAATGCTCTGTTTATTTCTCTACAAAGTTTGACATCAATTGTTTGGTTAGGAATATAATACCCTCATATCATACTATTATTTTTCTAAGAAATTACATTTCACATACATTTCATTTCCCCTGCAGCATTTTCCCCATAAATATAACCAGGTCAGCAGTTTCTGGTATTACATGTTTTGGGGATTGTGTATGTAGAGGAATGTTGACACACTAGACTGTGGCCAGAAGACGACCAGGAGGTGATCTAGGAAGATCTGATTAGCTGGCTGGTGGCCGTGACTTGAGACACTGTTACCACCATTACTACCACGCCTCCGTGCACTACTCCAACTACTGTGCCTGCTGTGTCACCAGGGAGAGTGGCCGCCTTGGTTTGCCTGTGTTCTGTCTCCCTCTGCCTCTTCAGTCCTCCCCATTCATTCTGCATTCCTTCCCCAGGTTAGTGTGTGATTGGAAGCTTGCTTTGGCTTCCCAGGTCACTTTGAATCATCGACTCTGTGATTTTCAAGCATTGTTTAGACTAGCAGTCAGACTTCTATTAAATTTTACCTGTGAAAAGATGATAATGCAGTTTTTAATAGTGTGCAATATACAGTAAATTGTGGACTCTTCTCCTTTTCAGCCAAAGATGTAACTTACATATGTCCATTCACTGGTGCTGTCCGAGGAACTCTGACTGTTACGAATTACAGGTTATATTTCAAAAGCATGGAACGGGTAAGACTTGTCAGATTAGATTTTTATATGTACATCTATGTGTTGATTGTTCATCTTTGATCATTTTTATTTAAAGCATTTCTAATTAAGATTTTTCTCAGCTATAATTGTACAGTATCAGTTGCTCAGCTTTATTTATTTTTTCCTTCCTTTAGGATCCCCCATTTGTTTTAGATGCTTCTCTTGGTGTTATAAGCAGAGTAGAAAAAATTGGTGGTGCTTCTAGTCGAGGTGAAAATTCTTACGGACTAGAAACTGTATGCAAGGTAAATGTTGTAATACGTATGCAATTTTATTTGGTTTGCGAAGCTTTGTATTAAATAGAGCCCGTGTTTAGAAATCGGTTTCCAAAATGTCAAATGGATTTTGTAATAAAAACATCATTCTAGTAGAAGAAAACAACATTTAGGTGTAATAAAAAGATGGCTTGAATTTTTTGAACCCAACACAAAGTACTCTCACATTCATTATTTTAAGTTGGGCCTCATAAAAATCTTGACATCATTACCTTTAATTTACAAATTAGAAGCATTAGACTCTGAGCAGTTGGCTCATAGTACTTTGTAGTGGAAGAACTGGTAATGACGCATTCACCTGTCTTTCCTATTTCTCGTTCTCATAAAATGTCTGCTTCTGAAACAACAGTGAGGACAATTTCATATCACAGACCTTCCCTGTTTTTTTTTATCTAACTTGTGTTCTTTAAATGCATTGATACTTGAATGAAACTTACATTGTTATAATTTTATATCCAGTCGTAGGCATTTAGTACCATGTGCCGCTTCTGCAGGTCATGGTTCTCCTTACTGAGGCCTAGTGAACACCTCTCAATTCTGGCTCACCTCCGTCCTTCCTTTTGCTGTTCTGCCAGTGCCGGGAAAGTAGAAGCAGCAGCATGTGCATGACTCCCAAGGTCCTTTCTTAGGCCGATATTAGGAGTTTCATGAATCTAGCATTAAAACTAATGACTTAGTAATTGTCTGTATGCTTTTCCCTCATAGTCGGAAGGGCTCTCATCATAGCTGTCAGCCATGTGACAAGACGTTGTCTCCTGGTCACTCTTCTGTGGTCTAATAGAATCAGAGCATAGAATATAAGAGGACATGAAAAAGGGTGACTTTGAAATTTTGATCATTTTAAATGTGATTTTTTTTTTCCATGAACAAGGCCATTCGTAGGGCCCCTGCTGTGGTGCTTTTGGAGACTCTGTGTTTAACAGAGTGATTATGCGTGTCCCTGTTAGTTGTAAAGATACTTACCGAGGAAAAACAAGGTATCAATTTAGGTTCCTGCACATGTTTGTTTTAAAAGATAGTAGAGCTAGCGTTTCTAGTTTCAGGTCAGATGTGTAATCAAATCTTGTTCATTTTCTGTTGGTGCATTGTAGTGGGGTGTGTCTGTGTTCACTTTTACAGCATGTGGTGTAATAAAGCTATTCTGAATTCTGTCTAGATGAAAACACTTAAATAAAATGGGTAGTCTTGACATTATTCTTCATCTCAGCTGTTTTCTTAGTGCTGTTAAGATGTCAGGAAACTGGAACATGAATATATATCTACATTCAACCTGAGCATAGACAACTGCTTGAGGGCAAATAAGGGAAGGGAACCTGGGGTCTTTAGGTCTGACTGTAGAGCCTGGATGATATCAGCCAGACTATCCAGAGTTCCTGCCGGTGGATGGGTGAAGAACTGGGCCATGGAGTGGATGAAGACCTTTAGGCGGACTTTGGCTCTATCAGTCTAGTAGCGGGAGACTTCTGGAGAGAAGATCAAATGGAAGGGATTACAAATAGGAAAATGGTCACAAAGCTTAATGGGAATGAAGACATTTATGAAATACAACAACAGCTAATCAGGTTTCTCATAGGGAAATTCATGACAGAAAATGGGCTTTCACAGGGAAAGGACATATGTTTATAGTGTGTATCAGTCATGTGATAGCATGACTTCAGATATAGTACCTCTAATCTCCAGTGCCTACGTCAGACGCTGCCTCCTTCACTGGCCTGCCTTGCGTTCATAAGCAGAGGTTAATTTTCTTTCCTCTGAATTCTGCCTTGTGTCAGAGTGCCTTCTGTTTATTTTTCTATCAATAAGGTGTTACTTCCCCGCTTCCAGGAGCTGTTGTCTGATTTATTTTTGTATTCTCCATTCACAGATGTTAACATTTTATAAGATAGTTTTAAGTTGCCTTGTTTATTCAATAAATAAAAAGTGAACTAACAATGATAGATGACTTGGATCCTAACTCTTTCCCAGGATATTCGGAATTTACGGTTTGCTCATAAACCTGAGGGGCGAACAAGAAGATCTATATTTGAGAATCTAATGAAATATGCATTCCCTGTCTCTAATAACCTGGTAAGATGTTTCTTATTTTTGAAAAATCTGTATTGTAATTAAAGGTGTGGTTTTAAGAAACGTCTAGGCTATCTAGAATCTCCACATTTACAATCCTACTTTACTGTTTAACCAGATGTATAATTTACGTTTAATCTAATCTCTAGGACCAAGTTTTTAGGTATAAAATGAGGAAGCTGGACTGGCTGATTTCTGAGGTCCGTTTCTGCAGACTGATACTCTGTCATTATAGAATTTTTTTATCTAGGGTGTTTCCATAATGAAAAGCTGTGTGTAGTTTTCATTAGGATGTGAAATTCCCTTTTTAATTGGGAGCTGAGAATTAAGTCTAGCAATTTTAGTAGGGAAGGGAGCACAAATTCTTAATTGAGTTCCTACTGTGTGCTATTAACAATGTTAGGCTTCCCCATTTATTGTATATAATCTAGTGTCCACAGTAGCCTGTGGTGGTAAATATTATTTATCCATATTTTTAAGTTGAAGCCAGGAGCAGGTAGGCAATTAACTCAATGGCTCAGTTAGTAGGGAGTAAAATTTGGAATCAATCCTGGTCTTCTGACTCTAGTTTGAGTGTTTTTCATCATAGTTGTTCCTGCCACTTTGTCTCCATTACTGATAAATTAAATTTTCTTTTTTGATACACAGATTGCATGCCAAAAAAGAAACAGTTCATTCAGTATGTTTTATAAAATGTAGCACAATCTTTAAAGCTGCCTAACGCTGAAACTGTGACGTCAGACTAATTCATTGCATTAGAAGATGTCTTTTCTGTGTCTTTAACTATTTAGAAGTAAACCTAAAACAGCTACCAAAGATAAATTCTGAATGAAATATGGTGATACGTTAGCATTTGATAAATATTGGCGGTGGCCTTTGTGCTCTTTTTAATGTTTGAAAAATATACAGTTAAGTTCTCAAAATTATAAAGCAAAAGATAAAACAACAATATACCAATACGAAATACCTTTGCAGATAAGTAAATGAAAACTTTAGATATGATAAGATTACATTTATGATTCATTACCTCCATAATTGTCTTTTTTAGCTATTAACTCCTTTTACTGTTTGTAGCCTCTTTTTGCTTTTGAGTACAAAGAAGTATTCCCTGAAAATGGATGGAAGCTCTATGACTCTCTTTTAGAGTACAGAAGGCAGGTATGTATGTTTTTTCTTTTAATTGTAATATTCTGTATTCTTTCCATTTCAACAGAGACTTCATGGGTAGAAGTAAACAGCTTTATATAGTTCTGTGGGTTGTTTTTTTTTTTTAAATGAAGGCTAATCTTGATATTTTTGGCTGCCTTTCAATTTCTTTAAACTGCTTTTCAAACTCTGTCAGTGATCTTTTATGAATCTTAAGTGTTTACAAGTAAATCAGTTTATTTAAAAAATGTTTAATAATTAAAAAATAAAATTGTAAATATATTTATGTTTTAACATTCTTATATGTCATTTGACATTTTTCACTCAGATTTTTCTTTTGAGTGTCCTATAATTTAATTCTGAAAAAATTTCCTTAAGTTCTACTGCTTATAACTTAGCTCTACGTAAAATTTTGGAAGTTCTACATCTTCACAGAGGACACACTTGTACATACAGTGTTAACAAATCAAATCTGATAGTATATGAAAGAGATAATACATCATGACCAAGGTGAGTTGGCTTAATGTTAGAAAACCTAATAATGTGATTCACCACAATAAGAGATGAAGGCAGAATTCAGTCTTGAAATCTGCGTTGTCGTGTATCCTTCCCCCATCCCCCTCAGTACACCACTTCCCACAGAGTTCTTATACTGCGCTACTTAAACTCTACCTAAAATAGTCCTTATTTTTTACTTTCCACCTGTTCACTGTGCTTTCTCGAGAATTTAAGTTCAGACACATTGTTTCTTGGTAGTCATTAGATTTGATATCCAAATTATTATAAAATTCAAATATGAAAACCATTAAGCTGTGATTTTTGTATTTAGATTTTAAACATTGCATTTTAATTACTATAAAGCTCTGGTTTGTTCCACAAAGCTAGGAAGAATAAAAACCCATCACTAGAGAACTAAAAGTATCCAGATGGTTTGAAACTGAGTTTGTTGCTCAGCCACATGTGGCAAGTGAAATTTTAAAATTCCTCATTCAGTCATAAAACCAAGTGCTAGCAAACTATGAAGCAGAATACAAAATAAATGGATCAAGTAAAAGCCAAGAGTCTACAAGTAACATTGTAAATGTTTTGCTAATCCAAAAATCCAGTGTCAGAAATAGGTGGCAGAGCAATCAGGAAATCTAACAAATGTCTGTAAAATTGTAAAAATGAAGAATATTCTTTGGGAATCTGGGCAAAAATTGCTGTTCTAGTAGTATTCAACATAGAGCTTTGGAAAAGAGATGAGTTAACTGTGTCCAAAAAAAATAAATAAGTTATGAAAAAGAATAAGAGTAAGTACAAAACAAGCAGAGAACCCAGTCACAAAATGGACAGAAGCCCTAAACAGACATCTCTCCAAAGAAGACAGAGATGGTCAACGGGCACAGGAAAAGATGCTCAACATTGCTAATTATTAGAGAAATGCAAGTCAAACCTGCAGTGAGGTATCACCTCACACCGGTCAGAATGGCCATCATCAAAAGTCCACAAATTATAAATGCTGGAGAGAGTGTGAAGAAAAGGGAACCCTCCTATCAAAAAGCTGATTAGCTGATAACCTTATGGGCGTTCTCTTGTGTGTTATTTGTGGGAATTCTCTTGGTGCATTTAATACTTTTTCCATATCTTTAAGTTTTGTCAGTTTGATTACTGTGTGCCTCCACATGCTCCTCTTCGGGTTAATCCTGTATGAAACTCTCTGTGTTTCCTGGACTTGGATGACTGTTTCCTTTCCCAAGTTAGGGAAGTTTACAGCTATTATCTCTTCAAATATTTTCTTACATCCTCTTTCTTCTCTTTCTGGGACCCCTGTAATGCAGATATTAGTGTACTTCATGGGGTCCCAGAGGTCTGTTAAACTGTTCTCATTTCTTTTCATTCTTCTTTTTTTCGTTCTGTGGGAGTGATTTCCACTACTCTGTCTTCAGGTTTTTTTTTTTTTTAATTTAAGTTTATTATAGAAGAAAATGAAGACATTCTTTTTGTTTGTTTCTGTCTTTCCTTGTTTTCATTGAGGTTTAGTTGGCACATGACATATTAGTTTCAGGTGTACAACATAATGATTTGATATTTGTATTGCAAAATGATCAACACAGTAAGTCTAGTTAACATCTGTCATCATACAGTTGCACAATTTTATTTTCTTGTGACCAGAACTTTCAAGATTCATTCTCTTTGCAACTTACAAATATAAAATACAGTATTATTAACTATAGTTGCCATGCTGTATGTACATCATATCCCCATGACTGACATTTACTTTATGATTGGAAGCCTGTACCTTTTGTCCCCTTCACCATTTTTCCCACTCCTGACTCCCTCCTTCCAACAACCAACCGTCAGTCTGCTCTCTCTATCCATGAGCTTGGGTTTTTTGTTTTTGGTTTTGTTTTTTTAGATTTCACATGTAGGTGAAATCATACAGTATTTGCTTTTCTCTATTTCACTTAACGTAATGCCTTCAAAGTCCATCCATGTTTGCCAAGTCCCGTAAAGGATTGAACACTTCCTCTGAAAAGGAATAGGTAGCCCTTTATAGTTTTCAGGCAGAAAAATGAAATGATAACTTTGCATCTTAAAAGATTATCGTGGAGGCAGTGTGGAGAATGGATTGCAGAGGGACAGAAGAGAAGTGATAATGGCCTGAATTGAGGAAGTGGGAGTGAGGATTGAGAGAAGTGAGCAAACTTTTTCCTGACACTTTTGGAAGAAAAATCATAGAAATTGATCATTGATTGAAAGTATAGTGTGAGGGAGAGGGGTGAGTTAAAGATGGTGTCCAAGTTTCTTGCTTGAGTACCACCTCTAGAAACTCACTGAACCTCTTACCAATTCACTGAACATTTTTTATTATGGCAAGTAAATACAGTTTTAAAATCTCTAAGTAAATCTTTTATTTCTGGAAATAAGTAAAGATCTTACTTGAAAGCTGTCTAGTATATATAAAGTTGAGGAAAGCAAGAGGCAAGGAGAGATGTAGATCATAGGAAGCAAGTTAGGACCCAGCTAACTGAATGGAGTAAATAGGATGTAAAGCACTAATGGATACAGACCGTGGCTAGGGATGGGTGGAAACCCTATTGATAGCATTTACTGCATGATTATTGGGAGGGAATTTTCCCTTCTTTCTTAATTTTAATATTCTTCTGGGTGTTTGGCAACAGCTTGAGAACTATCCCCCTAAAGGAGAGTCCTTCTGCTCTTTGAATTGAGATTTTTGTAACAGTTTTGTGACCCAGGATGGTAAATTTTTCTTGAGGAACAATGTACTTTTATTGTAAAAAGGATAGATTCAGAATGTACTTGGAATTCTTTACTTCCTTTGGTTAAGTTACAGTCTGTGCCACAATTTCTTCATCTAGAAAATGACGTTAATGAAACCTGAATACAGTAAAGTGTGTGTGTGTGTGTGTGTGTATGAGAGAGAGAGAGAAAGAGAAAGAGGGTGCTAGCATAGTGCCTGCACATAGTAGGTGTTCAATAAATGTATGTTTTTCTAAAATATGGTTTCTTTCAATTCTTTCTCTGATGACATGAGTTGTCAAGGGTGATAAAATTTAAAAAATTTAATACAATGGCTTTATTTTCTATAGTATGGAGGATGGAAATTTTTAAGTGCATTATTAGGTAATCCTTTCTGTGAAGTTGTATACAAGTTGTAAATATAGCAAATCTTGAAGGACCAAATGAGCTTATCAATTGATACGTTTTTTAAAAATTGTTTTCCTCTTGCGTTATTTTTTTTGGCTTTGCCTTCTATTACTTCCTTGTTTTCCTATTATGTTTTAGATTGGCAACATTTTATCAATACTATAGAGGTCACTTTAGGTATGTAAGTGATAAACATGTGCAGAGCGTTCCGGTGGACACTTGGTGCCCGCCCTCTGAAATTTCTTTGTATAGCTGGATGGCAGCAGAATCACTCATCCAGTCAGACTGTATGAGCCTGTGTTCTTTTTAAAGACAAGCACATTTTCAGTCTTACTGTTTCCTTCTTTTTCATTTAGTGCTTAGGACAGACCCAGCACTCAATCAGTGTTTAATGACATAATAGATCTATTGACATAAAATCGGGTGTCTAAATGAATACAGATGCCCGTGTTAGAATGTCTCATCTTAAAAGCCTCGTCACCACAGGCAGGCAGTAACTATTTCAGCAACTTAGGAGATGGGTAGTGGAGGTAAGAGAAGGTGAGTAGTAGGGTTCTGTTCTGATGTTTTTTTTAATATTCGTGTAAGGTAGTCATTTGTCTATATTTTATTTCGCATATAGGGAATTCCAAATGAAAGCTGGAGGATAACAAAGATAAATGAACGCTATGAGCTTTGTGATACGTACCCTGCCCTCTTGGTTGTGCCGGCCAATATTCCTGATGAAGAATTAAAGAGAGTGGCATCCTTCAGATCGAGGGGCCGTATCCCAGTAAGTGCCGCTGAGATGGACCTTTGCACGTGCTTTTGTACTACACGTAATGCTGAGAGTAACGGATGGGAGCATGGAAATAGGATAAAAATAGCTACAGAGGCACGTCTTTTCAGGGATATTAGAGAAGGAGTTATTTAGTAAAATTTAAAACTAGGGGAAAGGCTTAGATTAAAGAGGTTTCTGAAGTGTTTGAAATGGATATTAGCTGCACAGAGTTGCATGGTTAACTCAAAAACAAAGTTGGCTCTGTATTGTTCACTATTTCTTTATCTTATTATACTTCTTTAGTCATGTGATAAAAGTGTTCTTTTCCTTTAAATTCTAGAAAGAAGAAAACCACAAATTTAGGTGAATTACTGTGTTCTAGAAAGACCAGTTCAAGTAATTTTAGGTACAAAAATGTGTAGATTCTGAAGACTTTACAGTTGTGCAGTTTTGCTAACACAGTGCTACAGCTTTAAAAGTGGAGTTGACTTAGCCCCCTTTTAACGTGCTTTCTAGAGACAACATTCCCAAATAGTGACTTTCATAAATATCTGGTTAAAAAATTAGATCAAGTTTTCCCCGTGCCAGAGTTGTCTTGAAAGAAAGGTGATGATTTTTCATAGCAGCTTTGTACATCTTTTCATGGCTAGGCTTTGGATCCAGTAAGAAAGCAGTGTTGAGAAAAAACAGAGTAATGTTTTTGAGAAAAATTACAAACAGAGAGGTATGTAAAGGGTGTGTTGCCGTTTCCGCCCCCATTAAGGTTTTATCATGGATTCATCCTGAAAGTCAAGCCACGATCACGCGGTGTAGCCAGCCCATGGTAGGGGTGAGTGGGAAGAGGAGCAAAGAAGATGAAAAATACCTTCAAGCCATTATGGACTCCAATGCCCAATCTCATAAAATCCTTATATTCGACGCCCGGCCAAGTGTTAATGCTGTTGCCAATAAGGTAAGATCGTCTTTCAGAAATTAGAGTTTCATGAATCGGCATTTCATAGATCGGCTGAGTTTGGTGGGTGCCACAGTGGAGTAGAAAGAGTTCAGGCTTTTCAGTGATAAAGATGTAGATTCTAATCCTGGCTCTCCTGCTTGACAGTATGACTTTGGGTCAGTTGTTTAATCTTTTCAGACCTTAATTTACTTATTTGTAAAATGAGAATCATAATAACTAACAAAATTGTTTTAAGAGCAAAGTCACCTGATAAAAAGTAGTGCATAACCCTGCGTACTTACACAGGAAACAGGTGTCAGCACTTAATAATTCCCCTCTCCCTTCTGCATGCCGGACAGCCAGCGGAGCCCCTGCCTGGCTGAATTCTGCGCGGCTCTGGTGTGGGAGCCCCGCAGCGGAGTTCTCAGGGCCCAGTGCTGCCCCCTTCTGACAGCTCTCCACCTGCACAAGCTGTTCAGCTGCACTTGGAGCAGTAGTCCCGATTTCTGTTACAGAATAAACACTAGCATTGTGGAAATAGAAATTCTGGTCCAGTTGACAAAATGTACCATTGGAGGAGAGAAAATGGACACAACTTAGCCTTAAAAAATTACTTCTTTTTTCACCCCAGAATATATTATGGAAGAATTAGATAATGCACATAAGCAAAAACAAACCAAAATGAAAAAATACTAAAACATCCCAAATCCTGTAACTAAGAGAGGAAGAACCATTAAACCTTGGTTATAATTCTCGACCTATATCTACACACACATATTTGAGGCAGAATGGTATAATTTTTAAAAATTGACACTGTTTTTCTATGCCAGTAAATATAACATTAATGGTATAATAACCATTAATACCAGCTGTTGTTGGATATTTAGGTTATTTCTGCCTTTTCTGCTCTTAAAACAATGCTGGGATGATCATCCTGTTACTTAAATTATGGGGCATGTACCTAATTATTTCCATTCTCTTTAGTGTTTTGAGGACACTGAATTCCAGGCATTCTCTTAAACTGTAAATATTTCCCCTTAAAGGAGAAATGAAATAATGTGTACATGACGCCAGTACCCCAGGGACAGGCACATATTTTTCCAGTAATTACTTGTTCCTCTCCCTAAACTTCATACCATTATTAGCAGGAATGAGACTTACGATGTTTTCTAGAACAAGACAAGGGGGAGAGAGGAATATAAGGCAGCGAAGGTGGGAGGACAAAATGTTATATTCCTCACCTTATTTTTTTAAATCATTCCCACACATATTTCACTATGGAAATCTCTCTTTTTAAGGCTGATATATTTTATCTATTTATATATTGGGACATTTTTCTGATTATAAAATATGTAACAGACAATTTTAAAAAACTAGGAAGGCATAGACAAAGTAAAGAACAGAAATAAAAATCACCTATAATCGTTAATCTTTGATATATTTTCTGCCACTATTTTTTCTGTGCATTTATGCCTTGATTATTTTGATTCGTTGTTTGTCCTTTTAACAGGAGAAGAATTATTTCTTTGTATGACATACTCTTAAAAATACCTCAGTGGTACTTATCATAAAGCTACGTCATTTTTCTACTTAGTAGAGCATCTAATATCGGGTGTTTAAGTATTTAGAATTTTAAATATAGCTAAAATAACTTTTGTTGGCATCTTTGATTATTTCCTTAAAATAGTTTCCTAGATATACAGTTACTATATTATAATCTAAAATATACATATTTTTGAAAGTTTTATTACAGATTGCTAATCTTCAGAAAGGTTGATTCGGTTTAGCAACTTCACGTCTTTTTCCCTTCAGTTTTATTGAGATGTTACTGACATAGACCAGTGCATACGTTTAAGGTGTACAGCATAATGATCTGAGGTACATATACAGTGAAAATGGTCACCACAGTTAGTTAACATCCGTCACCCCACATAGTTACAAATTTTCTTTCCTTGTGATGAGAACTTTTAAAGTCTACTCCCTTAGCAACTTTCACATGTACAACACAGTGTTATTAACTACAGTCACCACGTTGCGCGTTACATCCCCACAGCTTATTTATCTTGGACGTTTGTACCTTTTGATCACCTTTGCCCAAATCCCTCTTCTACTGCCCTTTTTAAAGTTGCAAAAGCATACTTCTTTATTGCAAATATGTTTTTCCCTTCACTGTAAGAACATTTTTTATAACTTCTTCAATATGAATATGACAGCTGCTCTTGCAACCACGAGTCGTATCAAGAATCAAAATTTTTCCAGCCACTGAATCTTCTATATGTGTCCTACCCCAGTCAGTTTCACCTTCTACCCCTGCTAAAAGTAACCTGTTTTTTATAGAAATCATCTTTCATCCTCTGTGCTGTATTACTGAAGTGTGCATCCCTAGACTCTATAGTTTCAATATTATTTGATATATCTATTAAGTCTCTCTTCATCTGTAGACTTCCCCTCACTCATCTCTTTCTTTTTTAAAAACATGTATTTTATATGTAGAGTTTCTCATAGTCTAGATTTTGCTGATTGTGGGATGGTATGGTTCAACTTTCTTCTGTTCTCTGAATTTCCTTCACATGAATTCTGAGCTTTATTCAGGTTCAGTTCCCTTGGCAAGGCTACAGGGGATATATCAGGAGGCACGTGACATGGCTGATTCTTTCGGGGATGTTAGCAGCTGTTCATGCTCAGTGCCGATATACACTAATTTGCTGGGGTTGCAAAATGATGATATTCTAATTTCATGATTTCCTTTTCAGCTGTGAACTCTTTCTCTTATTTAAATTTTGCTTAATCGACAAGTCAATTAATATAAAAAAGCCAAGAAATGCTTGATTCTTTCTCTTTATTTACCAGATTTCCAAATAATAAACTTACTCCTTGTTATTCCATAAAGGTGACTAATTTTTTAAGTGTCATTGTGAATTCATGTATTTATACATAGTCAATAGTTTTAATCCATTACAGATAATATTTTTTTCAAAATTAAAATTTGCCCCCTTTGGAATGGACAGAACCCTTCCTGGCCTCGGCTGCACTTAGATTGATCTGTTGTGCTTTTCCTGTGGTGCTAAAACAAGGAAGCAGAAGAAACACTAGAAACCATAAGGCTCTCTCACGGCTCTCTTGTACTCCAGTCCGTCTTGTATCCATACTTCCTCCTGCTGCTTCCCCACACTCACTGACAGCATCCCAAGACCAGAGTCTTGTGGCTCTTGGTAACCATCTTGGGGTTTGATGGGATGCTCTGTCCCCTAGTTCTGTCCTAAAAGATTTTTGTGTGTTTTTGGTTTTACTATCTAGTTGCTCTGTTTTTCAAAAATACCAGTTGTATTGAAATATAATTCACTTGCCCTGAACTGCACTCTTTTAAGATCTGTATTTCAGTATTTTTAGTATATTCACGAAGTTGTACAACTCTCTGATCCCAGAGCATTTTCATTCAGTGTTTTTGTGGCAGCTGCCACCACTGATGTGTTTCTAGGATTTGTTGCAGCAAATTTGAATTGAAAGCCCCTCTACCCCGACCTGCCTTTTCCCGCTTTCCAGAAGTAGTGCTTCTTAACAGGTACTTAATGGAACACTAAATTTTGCACCCATGCCAGTCTTGGATCCAAACTGTTTCCCAGACTGTCAGTGTCAGAAAGGAAGCTTGAACTTCTGTTCTTTCTGTAATTGGTTGTTGGTTAAGAGGTGAGTTTTGTTTTGTTTTCAAAGGTGCGAGTCATATGATCTCTTATTTAACTACAGTGGCTGTTCCAGTATTTTCTTAATTTTTTTTTCCATTAGTGCTCTGAGATGAGTGATTTTATACATAAGATAGGAGCCATATTTTATTCATGAAACAGAGAAAACGTCAATCCAAGAAAGTTCAGTCCTTTCCAGCCATAGCTTACTTTGAACACCGAGTATTTCTTATTCTGCACTGTACATGTGGGTTTGTATCTCTGAGAGCAGTATTCTGTGCTGTAACACTTGTTCTTTTTATTTAATACTAATTGTGTGGTTAAAATAGGAGCCAGTCGTTATGACTGCAGAGCACTTTGCAGAGACTCAGAAGACAGTGCAGGAGGAGGAGGGGGGAGGTGAGCAAGCGTGGGCAGGGCTGAGCGGGACAGACGTCTCTGCGCGTGGAGCTGCTGGTCTGGTGGTTTCCGTCCTCTGTAAAAAACTAGGTAGGACTTAAAATATGGATAGAGAAATTTTAGTGCTTTAAAATGTTCAAGTACCTTCGTATATGTTATCACATTTAATTTTAAAAACAGCAACACTCGGAAGTGAGGGTGAGAGTGTGTAGTCTTGTTCTATAGGGAACGTGTGGTAGAGCGAGGTTGTGTTCAGTGGCCCTGAGCAGACACTTTTTCCCGTGGAGGTTCCCTGTCCATCGGTGACGTGTATCGTCTGTCGGGTGTTTTATGGCCTTCTTTCAGGGATGCCAGCGCACAAAGCATGTGCATTCTTTTATGATTTCCTGTTATGTTTGCTTTTTTTTCTCCCCCAGGCAAAAGGGGGAGGTTATGAAAGTGAAGATGCCTATCAAAATGCAGAACTAGTTTTTCTAGATATCCACAATATTCATGTTATGAGAGAGTCACTGCGAAAGCTTAAGGAGATCGTGTACCCCAACATCGAGGAGGCCCACTGGCTGTCCAACTTGGAGTCTACTCACTGGCTAGAACATATTAAGGTGAGCAGATGTTACTGTTTCTTTATACTTACAGAATATCAGAGACTTTCTCTGCCCTTTTGTCTATGTTGGCTCTTGACAGCTGAAATCGAGATGAAAGTGCCCTTTCAAATAGTGCAGAATTGGTAACTGCTTTGGTAATTAGAACCACTTTTCAGTTTTAATGCTTGAATGAATTACTTTCCTATGTTCTGTATTTGGTTCTCCTGTATTTCTTTCCCTCTTTCCCATCCTTCAGATCCCAGATTGTATTTCACTTCTTCCATGAAGTCCTCCCAGGTTGCATCCATTTTCATTTTCTCTAAACTTTTCACTTTACTTTTTCTTTCCATTTAATCAGGTGCTACCTTGCACTTGCTTTAATTACTTTTGTGTGAAAAGCAACATATATTTCTAATTCATGCAGACTAGGAAAGGATAAATCATACTTTCTTATCCCCTCAAGAGCTAGGGCAGCACTGTATGATGTGAATAAAACACCCAGTAAGTAACTGCTGTGTGGCTTGCGAAAACCATTTTGGTCAGGCAATTGAGGTGAAGTTAAATGAAGGATACCATTTCAGTGCCCATTACCATATGAACACTCGTTTGCCTCACGTGTTAATACAATGTTTGAAGCACCAAATGTTATTTCAGTTAATATAGCTGTAAGTATTTTCAGATGTGATCTAAATTTCAGTAACATAGCTTACCAAGATATACACTTCTGTAGTATATATGAAGTAATTGGAAATGAGATTTTTTGTTACCAAGGGGCAGCTAGTACCCACATTAAAACCTCTAAAATTAAGACAGAATTGAAGGCCAAATTGACCTAATAAGAATTACAGACCACTTTGATTATTCTCTTCTAGAAACAGAAGCTTGAATGTAACAAAGCGTATAAGCACTCTGCAGTTAGAGAGCATGGTCTCTATTACATTGTACGATGTATGAACAGAAAACCAGAAGATCTGGTTTCGAACTAGCATAAGTTGCAGCATTCTGTAAATTCCAGGTCATTTCTAACAGGTATAAATAACATTCTCTCCAAGAGGCTGGCTATAGCAGAAACAAATTTCCTTAGAGGTACAGGAGATACAGCTGTGCCTGGAGCCCCTTCTCCCCCAGTCCTCACGCCTGCAGGGCTTCCCCACTCACTATCTTCAGACCGCTGCTCAGATACCGCCTCTCAGAGGTGCCTTTCCCAGCCCCTCCAATCAAAAGAGCAGTTCTGCCAGCACGCTGGACCTGTGTGGAGCTTTTGCACTTACTGCCTCTGGCACGCTCTACGTTTTTCTTTGCATCTGGCTGGCCTCACCTAAATGGAATGTAAACTTCACTAAGCCAGCGCTTTGCTCTGTTAGCTGCTCTGTCTCCAACACCTACAGCTGTAGGGGATGCCATAAATGTTTATCTTTTAAATGAGTGAATAAGTGACAGTGACCACTTGGTATAAGTCTTCTGGGTCGGTCTTAACTTCCCAACTGTTTTAATACTTTGGGTCAGTGATGTGTTAATTTGGATATACATTTGAATTATAGGTGGAAGTTATTTAAAATAGTGAGTTAAGATTAGTGGAGAATGGGGACCAGGCTTTTTTTTTTTAATGCCCACAGATGACTCTGATGCCCAGTCAGGATTGAGATTGCTTCAGTGAACCCCATTTCCAGAATATGCCTGCAGTTATGATAAAAAAGGAGGTCATCATTAGATTCTCCAAGCCTAGTGTATCTTTCCTTTCATTCTGACACACATTTGTGGAATCATGCTGTTCTTTAAGTGTGACATGGCCATTGCAGAGAAGAATGGGGATATATTGTTCATTTTAAAGGATATTATAGTTTTGTGTTTCTTTTTGCTTACATCTAATCCTGTCTAGTTTTAACTCAAAATTAACTTTGCAAAGAATATCTACATCTTAAAAGAAAATAAACTGTTTTAGATACCAGCTAAATTGACATGGTAATATATTTGATACAAAAAAAAAGCTGTACTTGCTGTATGCTGTGTGACATACATAGAAACAGTAAAATAAATGCTATAGAAGTTACAGAATATTTTAGAATATCCAGTTTTACTGCATTCATATCTATTCTAATTTGATTGAGTATTGTTTAACAGATGACTTCAGTTGGTGTATTATTTTTACTTAAACGGATGATGTTGGAATAGTTGAAATAGATCTCTTTAGAAGTTAATCCTTTGTCCTCTTACTCATAGTCTTGATTTGTTTAGAATCCAAAGGTACCTTTCATTGTGCAGATTAATAGGAGTCTGCATTTATGAGATTTTTATAGTTTTAAAAGTAGAATTTATCTATCTTCTACCATTTACAAAAATTCTTTATAGGAAGGGACTGATACTTTTTTCCTCCACAAGTTATTGAGACAGTCATCTCTAACAAAACCCTGTTAGTAAATTTTGAATAAGGAAGTTACTTTATTAAAAGTTTCATTTAAAAAATCTGTTTTGCAGCTTATTCTTGCAGGGGCTCTTCGGATTGCTGACAAGGTGGAGTCAGGAAAGACGTCAGTGGTCGTACACTGCAGCGATGGCTGGGACCGCACGGCTCAGCTCACCTCCCTGGCCATGCTCATGCTGGATGGGTACTATCGAACCATCCGGGGCTTTGAAGTCCTTGTGGAAAAAGAATGGCTCAGCTTTGGACATCGGTTTCAGCTTGTGAGTAAAGGACCTTGACTCGGTGTATCACATATGCATCTCGTGTGAAAATGATGCCTTTTATTCACTCTTCATCTGAAACTGATCATTTATTTTAAAGGGTTAAACTTCTCGAGAGAACATTTGGGCTGTTCTGGAAAATGCTAGGATATCCTACCATGGCCCTGCAGTCTGGAGCCAGGGTTAGCAATCTGTCAGGTGTCTGCCCCAGTCTCTGTGTGATCTGTGCCGGGAAACGCGAACTGTCATCCTGTGATTTTCACCTTCAGATGACAGTTCAGATTAGCATGAACGGTTACGGAGTTACACACAGGGCACGTCTAGATTTTCCTGTAGACTTAAGATGAAAATGGCTTAATTATTCTTAATTTAAAGTAGCCCTGCAAAGCTGCACTGCTCACACAGGACCAGGGTCTTAAAAAAAAAACAGGCTGGAACTAAAAGAAATGACAGAGAAAAATTAATAATTCAACTTAGACTGGGGAATCAAGTGGCTTTTCTGTTTTCCTTTTTAAGGAACTAACACTCTGATGACCATGGGTTTGGAAAGTGTTGTAGTTACTTTTACGGAAATGACAATTTTCTGTGCCCTCTGTCTGTCTCAGAATTTATTTTGTTGTTGTCATTGGTCTCAAATCTAAAGGTTGAAAGGGCCTCACAGTCCAGGCATTAATTGCTGAATGTCTTCCCTAGTGTCCCCATGAAGTGGTTTAGTTTCTTCATTAACCCCTTCAGAAATAAGCAGCAGGTCCCTTCCTGAGCCTGTCCAGTCTCAAAGTCTTACCTCCTCGAACCTTCTTCCTCACAGTGACTAAAATCTCCTTCCCATTTTCTTACATTCCCCTTTGGAGACAAGGAGAACAAGTATGACTACTAACCAAATGAGATAGCCCTTCAGATATTTGAAAGTAGCTGTCTTCAGGTGTCGTTCATAATCTTCAGCTCTTCTGGCTAAAGATCTTTCTCCTTCAGTCTTTTCTCACCCTAATCCCCTCACCAGCCCCGTTGTCCGCTGGACCTTGGTCATGGCTTTCTGCCAGTGTGGTACCCAAACTATCACAGTTCCTGAAATAGAGGAGTGCAGTTATGTCGTCCCTTTTAGAGGATTCTGTGCTTTCATGTGCTTTTTTTGTTACTTAGGTCATAGTTTGGATTCATGTAGCTTTTGATCAAATGAACATTCAAGTGATTTTTAGCTGTGTTCCTGCTACACACTCAATTTGAAATCAGAAAACTGGGGACCTTGGTTCTCATGTATTGCCCATCCATGTTACATGTTAGTTGTACTCACAGAATTTAGAAGGTGAGGGGCAGGAATATTTTCCCAGGAAGGAGGAACAGAGCGAAAAAAATGTCCAGATGGGACTGAGCGTGGCTGGAGCGGAGTTGACGATCACCGAGAAGAGAGGTAAGACTGTCAGAGGCCTTGCCGCCACTGAGTGTGCTTCCTGGCAGCATTCCCCTAGATTAGCTGGGAGACTTCCTGAAATGCGTTCTGCATAGATGCTGTCTCTAATGTTAACCATTAGTATCCAGTAGTTACCGGAGTATAGAAGCAGTGTTTATAAATAACTTGAAAGAAATGGACATTTAAAGGTAATCTGCTTTTTCGATCTTGAACTGTTAAATAAAATGGGTCATTAAAAAAAATGAAATTTAAGACAGCCAAAGCTGCACATGTTCCTGTAAATGTAACCAAAATCATAAATGTTTCAGATTGTTTGAAGTCGCTGTGGATTCCTAAATAGCTAACTCCGGTTACCTACTCCTGAAAGCAGAATTTGACAATGAAAGGACACCTGGTCAAGAGAGTAGGCCCACATGGTTGATGTAGGCTAATGATTCTCAAACTTTCTGATTTCGGATTTTGATTTCTCAAACTTTTTGGTTTTTCTCTTTCCATTTTTACAAGTATTGATGACTCCAAAGAACTTTGTTTATACCCATCAATATTTACCATATTAGAAATTAAATTTTAAAAATTTAAATATTATTTAAAGGAATAAGTCCATTTGTCTTAGTTCTTTGGGCTGCCGTTTCTCAGTTTTGATGGCTGGAAGTTCGTGTTCCGAGTGCCAGCATGCTCGGGTTCTGGTGGAAGGCCCTTCTGGGTGTAGACTGCCAACTTTTCACTGTTCCTGAGTGGTAGAAGGGGCTGGGGAGCTCTGTGGGGTCTCTTTTGATAAGAGCACTAGTCCCATTCCTGAGGGGGATCTTTGCCACCCTCCTCACCTCGGGAGCCCCTAATACCATCACGTTGGGCATTAGGATTTCAACATGTGAATTTTGGGGGGACACAAACATTCACACCATGGTACTGTTATTTATTAACATAAATAACATTTTAAATAACTATTTTCCAAAACAAAAAAGTTTAATGAGAGGACTGGCATTGTTCTACACTTTTGGCAAATTTCTTTAATGTCTGGCTTAATAGAAGATAGCTGAATTTCATGCCTATTTCTGCATTCAGTCTGTTACGATATGTTCTATTGGTATGAAGAAATGAGGAAAACCTGACCACAGATATGTAGGTTGAAAAGCAGCATTTTAATTTTTTTTAGGGAATTGTGGATATTTTTCTTTGATACTGTGTCAAAACTTGACAAATGGTAGTTTCTTAGAGGTTAATTATAGTGTGGAATCCAAAACTAACTCAGTGAGTTTTTTGTTGTTTTTTCCATTAAAGGCGCTGGGTCTGTCTTGTACTTTGAAGAGATCTTTCCCCCATGCATGATTTTGTGACATCATGTGTTGGTTATTTGGAAAATACTGGCTGAGTTAACAGCTCTTCCAATGTCAGTGCATTTCATTATGTGATGTCATAAGATCACATGTTAACATCACTACTGATTTTTATCAGAAGTCTTAAAGTATTATCAAACTCACTGTGGCAGATGAGATTTTCCCCCAAATCTAATTTTCGCTCAAAAGCTTGAATTTTATCATTGGTAACAAGTACTGTCCATTGTTTTCCTTGAAGTGACACATTCACTTCTGTACATTTTCAAAAAAATCTCTGCAAGATATTCAGGTCTTAATAACCAAAGTTGGTAGCAGAAGCACGTTATGGGTATTTCCCATTTTGTTACATAGGATATTAAAGAAAACTGTACTCAAAGGGAGAGGTTTAATAAAGTTAATAATTTTTACTGCTTCATCAGGGAAACTGGCTTGAGAGAGACTGGCTCTTTCCCTCTTTCATTTAACTGCAAGTACGTGGCAGGCCAGAGTATGCAACAACTAGTGTAGATTTCTTTCAGTACCTTGCTTCCTGATTCCTCCTAAGGTACCAAAGTTTCATCCTTCATCAATTTTGCACCATTAGTGCAAATGTCAACACATTGAAAAAGGCAAATAATGCCTTAGTAATATTATGAGATTTGTTTTGAGCTCACAGACCTCCCCTCCCCCCTTGCTGGAAGTCCATGGACCATACTTTGATAATCACTGCTTTAGGGTACAGAATAGGGGGTCTGTCTCAGTCATCTGGGGCAAAGATCCTCAGTGGAGGAAAAAGCTGAGAATACGGGTGAATGCATGCTTGAGGGGAGATGTCAAGCATTTTTTAAAAGTTTTCAAAGGGCTGTGCTTGTGTGATTCTTTTTGATAAAGACTGGAGCTCAGATGCAGCAGGTCTCCCATGTCATGCGCTGGCCAGTGTGTTAAAGGAGCAGGGTGTTTCCCGAGGCTAGTGTATGAGTAACTGTTAAGTTCAGGGCAAATTAAATCTCCAGGACAAAACTCTGGGCTCTGAGGCCTGACATCTGCCGTCTTCCATTATCAGCCTTTCAGGATCTGAGTTTCATTTATTATACAGAGTTGTTAGTCCTGTCATAAGCATCTCATGTCAGAAAATCATCTGGTAGTTTGCACAGAAAAATGTTGAACAGAGATTTCTGCTTGGTAGGATGATGGGTGATTTGTTTTCTTGAAGTGCTCTTTTAAAAAGATTTTCTGAAGTTTTAAAAAATATTACTTTTTAAAAGAAAAAAGTAATATTTTGAGCAAATATTATTTTTCTTAGAAAATAAAATTTCTTCCATTAACAATTGAAAAAATCTTACAAAGCTCTTAAGGTATTTCACTCTCTCTGTTTCAGAGACTTGGCCATGGAGATAAGAACCATGCAGATGCAGACAGGTCGCCTGTTTTTCTTCAGTTTATTGACTGTGTGTGGCAAATGACAAGACAGGTAACTTACCTGGCATATCCGTTCGTATATCTCTTTTTAAGCTGTCCAGTCAGAGCTGGATTTGGTCACTGATTGTTCCTACATTTCATGTAAAATGGAAATTCTTGTAAGTTTTCTAGGTACTGTTGTTACCTATGATCACATTATAAATTAAGTTAAAGGATTTGGAGGTGGTATTAAACCTGTAACAATTTGATTCCATATTTCAATGAATGGCATTGATAATAATCCTTAAGAAATTTCCTCCTTTGTTTTGGACAAGTAGTGTTAAATAATGGCAATATATTGCCAGAAACCATAAACTCATCTATACGTTGCTAAAGAAATGAAGAAATGGGCTAGGTAACTCAAGCAAAAGGAAACCCTGTTTAAAGCAATTTTGATGGAAAAATGTGTTTAGGTAGAAATTATGGCAAGGTATGTATGTAACAGATTCAGTGCTTTTTGTTCAAGATGATGTTTTTTAGACTTAATATTTTTAGAAATATTAATGTAAATGGATTTTAGTCTTTTAGAAAGATACCAGAGACTGAAAAATAGCTGGTTTATTATGGGATCACTTCACTAGTGAGCATGGAGTTAGTGTCTTAAAAATATTTAACTCAAGAAAAATTACCTCAAAACCCAAAAGTTGGATACAGCTCATTGGTGATCATGTTTTAGCTTTAATGAAATACTATTTATGGTGATCCTCAAGTCAGGTACATTCATTATATACTGAGTAGTTTATTTTTCCCCCCGTAAAGCTTTTCAGTTTGGGTGGATTATTTGGAAACATACTGGCTTAAATGAAGTGTTACAGCTGAAGTGACTACAATGTGATGAGGCTGGTATGTTAATATCTATACTGCAACGTGTTTACAGGTCAGTTTTGTTCTGTAAATTAGGCCCTTGGTGTGTTGTGGGGGAGGGGAGACACTACATGCTTATTAGTTTAATAATATTTACTACTTGGAGTAGGTTTGAATTTTTCCTTTGGAATTGCTATGCAAATCCACACCAAAAAAATTTTTTTTTTTTGGTATTTGACCAAAAACAATGGGACCTACTTTTGACAATTACCATATTCAATTTTTAAACATTTACTGCAAAACTCAACTATGCCATATCAAAGGACTGCAAAAGCTGTCTGAAACCGTGGCATCATTGGTGGTTCACTCAGTGTACTTCCAGGGAGAACGCCCTGAAAGGAGCGACGTGTGTGAATTATTAGCTCTGGTATATTTGTTGGAAAAACAAAATCAGTCACGTTTACCAGTTGTTTGCACACGGTGCATGACACACACTTCTTCCTTAGTAAGGTTGTATATCTAAAAGCAGTTTGACTCTAATTTTGAGCTCAAGTTTTACTAAATAATAGAGTGTCAGTTTATTCTTGTGTTTCATTGCTAGAACTTAAAATACCCTGTAGTTACGTCTTTACTTTGTATTTTTCTTTATGATACTTTCTTTCTGAACATTGAACATGTTAGTTACGTTTGTTGGCAGTCATCAGTTTTAGAAACAACTGAATGTTTGTGCAGAGACTTAAGCAGCACATTTGTCAAAATGGGGCTAATTATGCTGTAATTAGCCAGATTCTGTGTGTCCTCCTACCCTCACTGTCATCCCCTTGCTCCTGGGATCAGGAAGCAGTTGAAGGGCTCTTCAGATTTTAAACATGTAAGGAGAACAAAGTATTCCTCCCCTGCTCAGGATTTTAAAAGCAATAGCAGCAGTTAATGCTGTATTGCTATTTTTAGTTTTGTTGTGAGGAAATGCCCACTGATTAAGCTGCTTCTCATAACTGAGCTAATAGTTTTCCCATGAAGATGAAGCCTAACCATAGGCCACGCTCCTCTGGACTGCGGTGCGATGGGTCAGGGCGCAGCACAGTCGGCTAATGAATAAGGCTGTTAAGAGTGTGTAACAGTCCAGGAGATAGGATTTATTCTGTAAATGAATGAATGGAATTTGACAAAGTTTCTTAAAATTAATTGGCTTTGTTGGCATATGCTTCATCACCTGCTTCATTCACTTTACAGCCACAAAAATTACTTAAGAATAAATTGAGAAGATAAATTTGCCACATCACCCGCTTATAAATTTAGCAAATTCCAAGGCAAAGCTGTTTTCGTTCCTGCTCCTTTTGCATACAGTTCATGCTGTGATCCTTCTAAGAAAAACTTGGCACCAGTATTTATTTACCAAATCAGCAATCCAAATATTCATGGACTCCCTCTTCACAGGCCTGTAATCGGCATAACCCTACATAGAAACTTTCGAATAATTTTTGAAATATTAGATGGATAGGATGGATTATACTAAATCCTTTACTGTCCTGGGATCTGTAATTTTATTGATATATTCACCCAAAATTATGTTGTTTGGGTAATATTAAGACATTCAATCAAGCCCTTGTCCGAGGTTAAAGAGAAAGGAAACTTTCTTTTTGTTAGTGGCTGCCAGGGTCCTAGATTACAGGATGCTCTGGTTTGAGTGGATGCTCCTTAAAATGTAAGTTGATTGACTTTAAATAACCTGCACATCTGCCTTGGATGTTAATTTTTGTGTACTGCTGACGTTTTCCAGAGACGTTGATATTTTTTGTGTAATTCCTGAAAACTACATTGTTGAAAATTTAAGTTAAAATCTTACTATGTTGTTTATGGTCATTTTTGACAGAGAAAGACAAGTCAGAGTGTCATCAGCTTTAAGATGAGGGTTAACAGATAGAAAGGGATACCAAAGCGTCAAGGTCAGACCATTCAAACTCTTGGTGCACAAGAAGACGAGATTTTAGGAGAAATTGTCCCAGAAGAGTGATCAAGTGGGTTTTGAACAGAAGACCAAGCAGATAATACCCTAATGGCTTAGAAGTATATAGTTTTGAATACCAATAGCTTCATTTTAAGAAGTATTACAAAGGATCTACCAATATACAGGGATGAATGTGCTTGGAAAAATGTAATAATTTTGTGTGTGGTGTTTGCTTTGCAGTTTCCTACAGCATTTGAATTCAATGAATACTTTCTCATTACCATTTTGGACCACCTATATAGCTGTTTATTCGGAACATTCCTCTGTAACAGTGAGCAGCAGAGAGGAAAAGAGGTAAAATACAAGGCCTGACCCTCCCCTCTCCCCCAGATATGGGCTCTCTTCACTAGAGTGCATTCTGAGATGGATTTCAACTGAAGATGTGTTCTTCTGGATGGCTTCTTTGGCCATATTTTATTTTACATGCCTTAATATGCTATTTCTTTCCATACATCTGAACCTGATCTGTTTTAAAGTACCTCTGTCACAAGGTAGAACGTGCCAGCCAGCTGTCAGTCAGCTGAGTTTCTGGGCAGGGAGAAGTCTGTGGGGTCCTGGGAGCACCATGCTGCCTGTTACCCATCAGGGCAGCTGGAGAACAGTATAATCAGCAAAAAGAATATACAGCTGAATGAATGGACGGCTCAAATCCCCAAATATATTTTGCATACGTATGAGCCATTTTAGTTTTTTAAAGTGTAAAATGATACTGTAAAACATTCAAATACTGAAAAGATTATTATGTAGAAAGTTAAAATTTGTTAATCCCCTTCCCCAGAGATCTCACTCTTAAGTGGTTGGTATTACTTAGAAGAAACCATGTAAGGAGTACATTTCAGGTTTTACTTCGTCTTCCTCTGTACGATTCTAAATGATCTTGATTAGTGTGTCCCTCTGCATCAGTTTTCATTCTAAAACGTGGCTATAAAATAGTTTCTTCATGCTTTCTGTGAAGCGTAACGACAGAGTGCTTGCTCAGGAACCAGGCTGCCTGGGTTCGAATCTTGCATCTTTCACTTACTGTGTGACCTGGGGCAAAGCTTCTGTATAAAGTAGGGATAACGGCATGTACTTAAATTCTTAAGAGCACTTACTATTGTGACGATTAAATAAAATACAAAACACTACAACAGCTGCCACACAGTATGTGCTTCCTAGACTCTAAGGTCCTTGAAGATAGAAATAATTTAATTCACCACTGTATCTTCAGTATCTAGCATGCAGTAAATATTTCCACACACAGCAGGCACTCAAGAATTTACTGAATGTTAGATAATTAAGAACATAGATAACTTCCAAAGATACTTTTGTCTTTTTGAGAGACTTAAAAATAGGATTTACTATATCCTTAAAAAAGAAACATTTTTTAAACTGAGCTATAGTTTGCATTCCATAAAATTCACTTTTAAAGTGTGTAATTTAGTGGTTTTAGCATATCTAGAGTTGTATAACTATCACCACTATTAATTTAAGAACACTGAAAAGAAACCCTGTCCCGATTAGTAGTTACTCCCCATTCTCCTCTCCTCTCAGACCCTGGCAAACACTCATCTCTCTCGTTTGCCTCTTCTGGACATTTCGTTCAAGGTGTGGCCTTTGTGTCTAGCTTCATTAACTTAGCACGTTTTCAAGACTCAATCTGTAGCATGTATGAGTACTTCATTCCTTTTTATGACTAATTAATATTTCATTGTATGGATATACCACATTGTATACATTTATCAGTTGATGGACTTTGGAGTGGTTTCTACTTTTTGGCCATTATGAATGGTGCTACTTTGAACATTTGTGTACCACTTTCTGTGTGCATGTGTTTTCACTTCTCTTAGGTTTATACTTAAGAGTGGAACTGCTGGTATGGTAACTGTTAACTTTTTGAGGAACTGCACGGTTTTTCACTACCCCTCGATTTTAGTCTAGGCGGGGCTATCGCTGAAATGTCTTCTAAGTTCTCTCCCTCTAAAAAGATTTTAATGGTCAGTTACCTTTTTACAAATTTCATCTAAAGTATTATGTCAAGCTTATGTAATGGAGAATCTTAACCTATTTTTTCCTTCTTATAGAATCTTCCTAAAAGGACTGTATCACTGTGGTCTTACATAAATAGCCAGCTGGAAGACTTCACTAATCCTCTCTATGGGAGCTATTCCAATCATGTCCTTTACCCAGTAGCCAGCATGCGCCACCTGGAGCTCTGGGTGGGGTATTACGTAAGGTGGAACCCACGGATGAAGCCACAGGTATGTGCCCTACAATACAGTGAAAGTGTGCATCCATGCAATTACATGAATTAGGTTTGTCCCCTGCAACTACAAAATTATCTGTGCATATTTAAAACTTTCACTTTTTCCTGTTAACAGTTGAAGAGTAAAAAAAGCACTATATAGGGATGACGGTATACTTGGTTCATGCTAGTATGGCCTTGGACAAACCACTCTGTTTCCCCTCTGTAAAATGAGACTGCTGACTAGGTAACTCTAAAGGTCCTGTTTTTATAGGTTGGAGAAATTAGCTTTAGGGAAGTTAAAAGCCTAATAAAATTCTGCTGTTTTTTAAAATGTTATGGAATATTTATTGCTTAAAACTGTTCAAGACTCAAAATGACAGGAAGTGTTCTGAGTACTGGCTCTTAGATTATCTTGTTGTTAGATTATACTTAAGTATTTTAAGTTAACTTACCAGTTTTAGCGTAGTCTGTGGACGTACTGGGGCACTAGGAAAGCCAGTGAAAGAGCAGTGGTGTCAGTCGAGTCCCTGGAATGACACTTCACTGAGGTGCTGGGAAGATGGGCGTGGTCCCCATAGCTGAAAACACACACACTGCAACATTTAGAGAAGGAACTCTCCCAGAATGATTTGACTTCAGGTTTGTTTAGGTTTGCCTAGTTGAATAACTATGGTGTTTTGCTCTTGTAGGAGCCCATTCACAACAGATATAAAGAACTTCTTGCTAAACGAGCAGAGCTTCAGAAAAAGGTAGAGGAACTACAGAGAGAGATTTCCAACCGATCAACCTCATCCTCAGAGAGAGCCAGTTCTCCTGCACAGTGCGTCACTCCTGTACAAACTGTCGTGTGACAGGTCTGCTAGATGGGGGCCGCCAGTCATCGCCACGAACTCCTGATTACCATGGCAGCTTTATGAGTGGAAGGTCTTCTGAATATAGAACCCATCTGTGAGAGAAATTCAGTCACTTTATTTATTTTAAATAAGTCTCTCTAGGATGAGTTTAGAACTGTAGCAGTGCCGGTGGCTTAAGTGAAATACCCCACATGTAATTACGTGATTATGACACTAATCTTTTAAATCACCCAAAGAATATTAAAGTGCTTCAGTCCTGGATCCACAGGAGGCACCAGTTGCTGATTTTTAAGAGGAAAATGCTGTCTCAGAAATTTTGGTGTCTGGTAGAATCAAAACACAGGTGATTTCAGAAATAAACCTGATGGAAGAGCACTCACCGTGGCACAGAGGGAGGAGCCCAAACCAATCCTGAAGTCCGTGCCGTTACCCACACCGGGCCCCAGCGCGATGATCGAAGAGAATCCTGATGCTCCTTCCCCCATAGTGGGTTTTTCTTTCTGGTAGTAATTTACTTTGATCACCGTTAAAAACCCACATTCTTCATATGTAGTAGGGCAAAGTCTTGAGGATCTTATGGTGTAGAAGTAGTTGAAAATTATTGCTGTCGTTATTTATGTACTTAATTTAAGACGTATGACATAGCTGTTCCAAAATGACGCCTCACAGATGTGCTTGGGAGCGGGATGGAGGAGGAGGTGGTCGCCGTCCAGGATTTCAAAGAAGTCCACGTCCTTCAGATTAGTTTCCATTTGCACAGTTACTAGAAACATCATGAAACATATTTTAAGAACTATCTACCCTACTTCACGTACTTTTTTTGGGGTGAGTTTTGAGGCAGTATTTAAAAGCTTATTTTTCCTGAAGTCTGTATAGTGAGACGTACTATGCTCAGATTTGACACGAAATATCTTACTACTACTTTCCTTTGCAAATTCTGTAATTCCACTGAATGATTAAGCCTACCAAAGAACTTACTGCATGTAAACATGTGTTACAGTCTCAATGCCAGTAAGGGAAATCCTGCTTCACTTTCTGCCTGCTACAGTAAGAACTCAGTGCTGGTGTGAACACTTGACCCCCTGTCTGTTTTCTCTGTGTGAGAGCCGTACGTTATGTACTGTAACACAAAGGAGCTTCTTGTCCCTTGGGTCTTTAATTAAAAGAAAATTTCAGCTGACTTTTAAACCCTGTCCTTGTTCTAAGTTGTCTGTCTTAATTATCTTTTGCAGAAATATTTGGAAACTTTTTGAGGAAAAGGAGTGTTTCATACCACCTGCTGCAGGTGAAATGTTCAACTTGAATCCATAAACCAAAGAATACTCAAAAATACAGGATTTTTTTCACTTGTTAATTCACTGGTCTGAACCTTAGCTCTGCTCTTGGTCTTGCAATTAGTAACTATAATTTGTTAGTACATCCAATATTAGCAAAATTGGTACCAAAATGATTTGGTCATTGTGAAATTTGTTATACTTTATAACAGTTAAGTGGCCAGTCTAAGTTTTATATTCCAAATATTTTACAAATCCATTCTCTCCTGTCCGTTCTACCACTTCCCTCACTTAAGCCTTTATCATCTTCTACCATCTGATACCACATAAAAGAATGAAGATAACTGAAGAGGTTCAAGAATTTAAAATTCCTAGTCTTACTACCCTCACATCTACTTTGCATTCCATTCAAAGCAATCTAAGAGCACATCTACCACTTCTATTTTTAGAACTATCCAGGGGTTTCCTTTCAGCTGCAGGAGTTTCCCAAGTGTAGCACCTTTAAGATAATCCTTTAATGGGATTTCTGGTCAAGACAGCGGAGCAGTAGGACCAAGAGCTTGGCACCTCTCACAAACAACCACAACAGATTGCTGAACAACCATCGATAAAAAAAGATCTACAACTGGAGACGTAAAGAGGGAACCACAGCAGGAAGGTAGGAGGGATGCACTCGTGATATATTTGGGTCCCATACCCCTGAGGTGGGCAAACCACAACGAGAATAATTACGAGAATAATTACATTGCAGAGGTTTACCCACAGGAGCGAGAGATCAGAGCCCCATGTCAGGCTCCCCAGTCCGGAGGTCCAGCATCAGAAGGAGCCCCCAGAGCATTTGGCTTTGAAGGCCAGTGGGGCTTAACTGCAGGAGCACCAAAGGCCTGGGGGAAACAGAGGCTTCACTCTTAAAGAGCGCACACACAATCCCACGTGCACTGGGAACACCAAAGGCAGAAGGAGTGATTTCAAAGGAGTCTAGGTTAGACCTGCCTGCTGGTCTTGGGAGGTCTCCTGGGGAGGTTGGGGGTGGCTGTGGCTTACCCAGGGGACATAAAAGCTGGTGGCAGATGTTCAGGGAGTCTTCAGCCACATGAACTTTCCTAGAGGCTGACATACTGCCTGGGTCATTAGCACCAAGACCTGGCCCTGCCCAACAGCCTGTAGGCTGAAGTGCTGAGATGCTTCAGGCCAAACAACTAACTGGGTGGGAACACAGTCCCATCAGCAGACAGGCTTTGAAAAGTCCACCTGAGCCCACAGCCACCTCTGTAGGTGGCCAGGGACTGGCCAGGCCCTAGCTCCACTCACCAGTGGGCAGGCACTGGCCCCTTCCTCCAGGAAACCTGCACAAGCCTCTAGACCAGCCTCACCCTCCAGGGGGCAGACACCAAAGTAAGAAAAGAACAATCCCACAGCCCGTGGAAGGAGTCCACAAATGCAGGCCAGACTCTGGGACCAGCTGGCCCCTGGCCCTTGGGTGGCAAGAAGGGAGTGCGCTGCTGGAACGTATAGACTGTCTCACACAGAGGACCACTTCTCCAAGGTTGAGAAATGTAACTAACCTACCACACACATAAAACTACAAATAGAAATGTAGACACAATGAGGTGGCAAAGGAGTATGTTATGTTTAAGAAAAAGGAACAAAATAAAACCCCACAAGAACTAAGTGATGAGGAGACAGGCAATCCACTCAAGAAGGAGTTCAGGGAATGACCATGACGATGATCAGGGACCTCAGGAGGAGACTGGATGCAGCACTGATTGAGAAGCCAGACGTTTTCAGCAAAGATACAGAAGATACAAAGAGCAGCCAAACACCGCTGAAGAACACAGTAACTGAAATGAATGAAGTGAATTCCCTGACCTGGGAAAGGAAGGTCACCCAAGTCCAGGAAGCGCAGAGAGTTCCATATAGAGGAGCATGCGGAGGCACATAGTAATTAAACTGGCAAAAATTAAAGATAAAATATTAAAGGCAGCAAGAGGAAAGCAACAAATAGCATGTGACGGAACTCCCATAAGGTTATCAGCTGTTTTTTCGGCAGAAACTCTACAGGCCAGAAGCGAGTGGCATGATATATTTAAAGGGATGAAAGAGAAAAATCTAAAGCCAAGAATACTCTACCCAGCAAGGCTCTCATTCAGATTTGATGGAGAAATCAAAAGCTTTATAGATAAGCAAAATCTAAAAGAATTCAGCACCACCAAAACAACTTTACAACACATGCTAAAGGAACTGCTCTGGGTAGAAAAGAAAAGGCCACAACTAGAAAAAAGTTATAGAATGGAAAAGCTTACCACTAAAGGCAAACATACAGTAAAGGCAGGAAATCATCCACACACAAACTAAGAGGGAAGTTAAAAGTAAAATCATCTATATGCACAACAAGCAGTTAAAGGATACACAAAACAATTACATGTAAAATATGACATCAAAACAAGTAATTGTGAGAGGAGGAGAGGACGAATGCAGGGTTTCTAAAATGCATCTGAAATTAAGGGATCAGCAACTTAAAACAATCATGGATAAGTATATATATAGACCTCTATACCAAAACCTCATGGTAACTGCAAACAAAAATCTATGCTAGATATACACACAAAAAGGAATCCAAATATAATACTAAAGATAGTCATCAAATCACAAGAAAAAAAAATGAAGAAAGGGGAAAAAAAGACCCACAAAAACATCCAAAATGATTAACAAAATGGCAATAAGAACTTATGTATCGATAATTACCTTAAATGTAAATGGATTAAATGCTCCAACCAAAAGAGACAGACAGGCTGAATGGATACAAAAACAAGACCATATATATACTATCTACAAGAGACCCACTTCAGAGCTAGAGACACATACAGGCTGAAACTGAGGGAATGGAAAAAGGTATTCCATGCAAATGGAAACCAAAAGAAAGCTGGAATAGCAATACTTACATCAGACAAAATAGATTAAAAAAAAAAAGACACAAGAGACAAAGAAGGAACTACATAATACTCAAGGGACCAACCCAAGAAGATGTAACAACTGTAAATATATATGTACCCAACACAGGAGTACCTCAATATATAAGGCAACTGTTAACAGATATAAAAGGAGATACTGACAATAACACAACGAGGGGCGAACTTAACACCCCACTCACATCAATGGACAGATCATCCAGATAGAAAGTCAATAAGGAAATACAGGCCTTAAATGACATACTAAACCAGATGGATTTTTTTGCTATCTATAGAGCACTCCACCCGAAACCAACAGAATTAATATTATTCTCAAGCACATAAGGAATTTTCTCTAGGATCACAAAGCAAACCTCAGGAAACTTAAGAAAACTGAAATCATACCAAGCATCTTCTGACATGAAATTAGAAATCAACTATAAGAAAAAACTTGCAACATCCAGAAGGAACCCTACTTCAAAAAGACACCTGCACCCCAATGTTCATAGCAGCAGTATTTTCAATAGCCAAGACATGGAAACAACCTAAATGTCCATCAACAGATGACTGGATAAAGAAGATGTGGTATATTTATACAATGGAATACTATTCAGCCATAAAAAACAACATAACGCCATTTGCAGCAACATGGATGTCCCTGGAGAATGTCATTCTAAGTGAAGTAAGCCAGAAACAGAAAGCAAAATACCATATGAGATCGCTCATATCTGGAGTCTAAAAAAAAAAAAAAAAACCATACATACAAAAAAGAAATAGACTCATAGACATAGAATACAAAATTGTGGTTGCCAAGGGGCTAGGGGGT